GACGCAAATAGCCCTAGCTACAGGCAAAATCGCTCTTGGGCGACGTAAAATTCACATCGCCCGACGCTTTATCGCAAGGCCTGTATATATATTGATACATATATATATATATATATATAGATACATATATATATATAGATATTTATATATATATATATATATATATATATATATATATATATATATATATATATATATATATATATATATATATATATATATATATATGTATATATATATATATAGATATTTATATATATATATATATATATATATATATGTATATATATATATATATATATATATATATATATATATATATATATATATATATATATATATATATATATATATATATATATATATATATAAACAGCAGGCTATAAAAATGTCAATGTAGCAGCTTTAAAAAGTAAACACCGTTTAAAAAACTTTTAAGTCATTATTATTGCAGTTTTTCAAAAAAATAATTAAACTTAATGTACTTCCTCATTTTTTTAATTGTTTAAACTTTTAGACAATATTAAAATGTTGCTTGATTGTTTAAGTCACTTGAATGTTGTTGAAAAGATTTTTTTACTGTAAAAATCTTTTTTGACTACGATATAAGGATATATATTTATACAAACAACACCAAAAGACCAAGAACAAATGAATATTATCAACACAATTTCCCTTAAATCAAAAGAACGAGAAAACAGAGCTAAGAACATAATTATATGTGGTGCCCCAAAATTTTCCAGTACTGATCAATCAATTGCAAAAGCTAAAAAGACAGAATTTAAGTAAAAAAATATTTTCATTCTTAGGGACAGACAAGTCTTTAATTGTAAATCATTTCCGCCTAAAACCCAATGTAAGGACCCCTGAACTACCCAGTCCAATAGTAATCCTTATGAATGAATTAGCTAGAAACAGAGTAGTAGAAACAGTAGAAACAGACTTAAACAAACCTTCCCTATTCATCAACCCTGTTATGAATTTAAATGAACAAAACCAGGTTTACCTCTTTAGAACAGAATGCAAAAAATGTAATATCGCTTTTAGTCCAACTGCTACAACAATCAATGTTATTTGAGGTAACACACTAAAATAAATAACTTGACATCATTAGCCACAAATGTCAATCAAAAACCAACTAGCAATATCTCCAACAACACATCTATTAATCCAGAATATTCAAATAAAATGTTTCATCCCACCTATGCGAATCATTATGAAAACTTTGAAACATAGTTCTACAAAAGAAAATGTAAACAGAGATCTAAATAAAATCATTAATTGTGCATACTTTAATGCAAGATCACTTAACAATAAACTTCATCATTTACATAATCTTCTTCGGCAATCTCAATATTATTCTCATCACGGAAACCTAGCTTAACTCCAGACTCGCTACTGTTAAATGGAAATGATTTCCAAATATTTTTGCGTGATTGTAATGGTAATGGTGTTGGCTCACTCATATCAGTGCAAAGTAATATCCATTCTATACAAATTAATTTTGATATTCCTGAATAACTTGAAGATACTAAAATTACTTGTGTAGGCGTATGTGTCTACTCTATTCTCGCATTTCATGCATTTATCACCCCCATGTGCAGCTTCATGTTTTTTGAAAACCAAAGCATTATGTAAGATGCTATGTAAAATTTCATCAACTTGTAATCATACTTGCAAAGTATGATTACAAGTTGATGACATTTTACATAGCAATTTTTATCTACCACACATTGATTGGTCAACACATATTAGCCTACGCAATTCTTGTCACGACTTGTTCATAGAAACTTGTATGGTAAATACCCAGCTGGTATCAAACAGTACCTAATTAAATAAAATTTTGGATCTTATATTAACCAATGATAAAATCGATGTATACAAAGAAGTAACTACAGCCCCTTTCACCAGTACCTGCAATCATTATACCGTTCTCTTTATTGCAATTTGGAAACCTTAATTAACGCTAAAAAACCATCATTTCCAATTTCATATAATTTTCATAAGGCCAACTATAATTATATCAATAAATATTTAATTAATTTAAACTGCTACAAATTAGCTGAGCAACATAATGTTGAATCATTCTGGCACGCTATATGTGACATTTTGTTGCACGTACCAGCACTCCATAAAATAGATATAGTATTCAACCTTGTGTACTTCTAAATTTGACATCTAAAAATTGGATTTTATACCAAAAATACAATTTTAATTTAAATACTTTTATCAAATACAGGAATTGCTCACATCTATATGATGCTGAAATAAAAAAAAAAACGCTATTAATAAGGAGAAAGATATTGTCAAAAAGAAAATATCAACAAATTTTACTCTTTTATTAATTCAAAATCTAAGCATCAATATTTTGTTATATCACTTGCAAGTTCTGATGGTTCTCTTTGTTTAGACGATTGTAAAAAAATGCGTATTTTGAATGACTTTTGAATGAAGAAAGGCAACCCTTCTCTACCAAGCAACTACAGACCTATTTCAACGACCTGTACCGTTTACAACGTTATGAAATCAATCATTGATAAAACCATAAAAAACCATCTTTTAGAAAATAACTCTTTTTTTCTACATCAATTCAGTTTTACAAATCGCAGATCCACATGTTGTAGCTTTAAATGAATGGACAACTTCCTTAAATTACAAAAAAATAGTTGATATCATCTATATTGATTTTGAAAAAGCATTTACTTGGTAACTCCTCCTAAACTAATGGTCAAATTGCAATACTATGGAATTAAATACAAACTATTTAGTTAGATTAAAAATTTTATAACTAATCTCTTTTAATGTGTGTATATTGGTACCTCATATTCTGAAAACACTCCAGTTAAGAGTAGAATACCATAAGGAACTGTACTAGGATCTATATTGTTCCGAGTATTTGTTAACAAGATAGTTTATTGCACTGGTTGAGACTGTGGCATTTAGCTGTTTGTAGATGATATTAAGTTATATCAATCAAGAAATGATTACAACAACATTGATCTTGTAAACACTTCAAAAAAAATCTTGGCATGGTCCAATGATTAGCAACTAAAAAAAGCAACCAAATTTTTTTCGTTTATGCTATGGAAGATATAATATACCTACTCATTCTTATTCATTAAATTCCAATATCAATATTGATACTGTTTATTCAATTCAGGATATTGGAATCACCATGTCCTTTGATAAGAAGTTCTCTAATTACTGCTCTTGTATTTCAAGCATAGCATACTCTTGCATTTACTTACTAAGAGTAATTTAGTAAATACTCGTCTCACCATTTATATATGTATATATATATATATATACATATATATATATATATATATATATATATATATATATATATATATATATATATATATATATATATATATATATATATATATATATATATATATATATATATGCAAGCACAAAAACGTAAACATATGCGCACCATAACCAAATATCTACAAAATCTAAGCTCTAGTCATGCTTTGAATCATTTATAATTTTAATCAATATAACTAATAAACAATTAAAAATTACTTGTTTTAAATAATCCGAAATAGTCCTAATGTAAGCAACACAATATAACTTCTTAAAAGATTTAATTTGATATCAAATGATATAACAAGAAAGACATTTTAAAAGAACTACATTTTATATTTGCTTAAGCTATCCTTATTCTTAAAAAGTTTAGCTTAATTAAAGTTTACCTTATTAGCTAATTTGGCTAATTTAATAAACTTTCATTAAGTCAATTTAACTTATAAGATAATATTTTTGCATTGTTGTCAGTTATTCTAATTTCCACAAAAAGATTTGCTTCATGGTCTATGTATTGCATATAAGAATGCATTTGATCTACACTTAAAGTATCCATAATGAATCATTGCATTTGTTAAATTTACTTTTGTGGTTATTCATAAGCAACAATACTTTATACATTGTTATTGTTGAAAAGCAGTAAGATCTTTATAATTCTTTTTTTAAAATCTGATATCTTTTTTCAAAAACTATTGACAATAAAATATATCTTAACTATAACAAATGTTTTATTTCTGGTTGATGGAACAAGTGATGATAGCTCACTAGAGCAGCCACCATTTAGTATTTTGTAGAAAAAGATGCAACATTACAACTATAAGACAGAGGTTCTAGCTTAGTAGATCATGTCCAGCAACATTTGCGGTACAATTTTTGATCTTGTCTAGAAAAAAAGCACCTCATTAGTAGAACCAACCCAAAAATGATATAATTATTCCATACATGGAATAGTGGCGTCATTTGCACAAACTGCAGTACTATAAGCAATTTTAATACTGCAGTTTAAAAAGAATGATTTAATAGTTGTTATTAAGACTTGATTGATATGAATTCTGATTCTTACATAAAGCAAATTACTACGATGGGTAGGAGTTTTTTTTTTCTAGAGTATTTATCCCTTCGTAAAAGAGATTATTTTTAGTTTAGATTTTAGTTTAAATAGAGGGTAGTTAACACTCTTGTCATACTATTTCTCGAAGTTTTAACAAAACAGTGTTATCCTTCAGGTTTCAAATTCAAAAAGACAATTACACAACATTTTATTTTTGTTATTTTTGTTAAACTTTAGGTAAAATTTTTATAAAAATTTAAAATTTGTAAAATCCAGTATAAAAACTTGTAATTGTATTTACTTAATATGAGTGTTATTTTCAGTTTGCTTTTATAATTCTTAATCATATTATTCACTGTTATTAAGTTTGCAATAGATTAATTTCTTTTTTTTGTGTATACATGTTTCATATTTATGTTTAAAAATAGAAGTGCTAATAAGTATGGATTACATATTAATTAAATTGTCATTTTACATATACTTAAATGTGTGTATTTAATAATTACACTTATTAAATGTGTATATTTAATAATTATACTTATTATATGTTTGTATATATAGGAAAAGCTTATTAGTTAAAGTTATCTATTGTAAAAAAATTTCTGATTTTCTCAGAGTATATCAATTGTAACTTTAGGTTTATTTGGAAGAAGCTATGGTTTCAAATTATAATTCGTGGTGCGTGTATTATCAGTGTTATCTCTGTTTGTATGAATACTCCTCAAACATTTAATGCTGTTCCATCGTTAAAATATTTGACTATTATTATGGACTTCATCGCTGGTATAGCTTTATCTTTTGAAATAGTATTAAAAATAATTGCCAAAGGAATTATTTTATCAAAGAGCTCTTATTTCCGCAGTCCTGGTAGAGTGTTTGAGTTTGTGATGGTAGTTTGCATTATTATATCAGTTATTCTACAGTTTTTGGAAATCAAAAAAGTTTTTCCAAATGTCGAATTAGATTATATTGTCATTTCTTTTATACGTGCTCCAAGACCTTTTTTATTATTTCGTGTTATGAAATCTTTGTTGAATATAAGTTTACCAAAATCAGTGTCATTGCGTTCTTTAAAGCAAATTGGAAGTGTTCTACTTTTTACTGCTTATTTTATGTCTTTAGCAGCTGTAATTGGAGTTCAAATGTTTGGAATAATGAAGTATTATTGTGTTAAACTTTCAGCAGATCCTAATAATATTACAAATAATGATTTTTTGATTCCAGCATCACGTTGCTCTAAAAACTACAGTTCTTCATTCGAATGTCCTGAAGGTTTTACTTGTAAACCTTTACAGTTTGAAAAATTTCGTCAAGATCGGAGATATTTTGAGCACATATTGACTGGACTTTTAACTGTATACGAGGCATCCTCAATGGAAGGCTGGTCTTACATGATGTATGATGCAATAAATACTCGTCATTTTGCATTTGCTGTAGTCTATAATGTTGCGTTAATTTTTTTTATTGCATGGCTTGTTAAAAATGTGTTCATAGCAATTATTACTGAAGCATTTGCTGATCTTCGTATACAGGTTAGCAGACTAAATAACAGCTCTAAAAAAAAAAATACGGATCAAAGAGTTTTGCAAAAGATAGATTCACAGATGGAACTCATTAGAATAGAGCAGCTGTTTCCAAAAAACTATGTGTCACAGTCGATTCATAAGTTTGTTAACACATTGAAATTTAAATGTTTTATTTATTTTTGCATTTTTATAGATGCAGTTATTCAAGCTGTTAACTCAAAATCACTTTCAGTTTCTCCAATAGTTTTTACTATTATTTTTGATATAGAATTAATATTAAAGATTATAGCGATGGGTTTGAAGCGATATTATAATTCATTCACCTGTCGTTTTGAGGGTGCTCTATGTATAGGTAGTACTGTTTTAATATTTCCTCTAATGAATGGATATAAAGGATGTGCTTTGTTTCAGGTTATGCGTGTGTTTAGATTAGTTTTAATATCTAGTTCGCTAACTGTGTTTTTAAATCGCATACTTGGAAGTGGAAAAAAGCTTGGAAATTTACTTTTGTTTACTCTTGCTGTTTTAGTCATTGCTTCAGGTGTGACAATGCAACTTTTTTGTGGCATTGGTACATCAAATCAAAGTAATAATAAAGTTTTTTCAATTTTAAGTCCAACTAGTTTTGGTGATTTTCCAAACGCAACTGTTGCTATGTTTCAAGTGTTTATGTCTGAAAATTGGAATGGTGTAATGAATGATCTTCTTTGGCAAGGCCAGAAAAAGTATTCATGGCTTGTCTTTATAACGTTTATTAGTTTTCATCTTCTTGCTGCAACAATACTTTTGAGTGTGTTTGTTGCATTAATTCTTGATAATCTTGAGCTTGAAGAAGGCGTTAAACTATTGAAACAACATAGACAAGGTGTTGAAGTTGCTGACACTCAAGAGGCACTACCAGCTAGAATTCAGTTGTTTGAGAAGTTAAAACCTAGGCCAAAATTAGTCAGCCTTGACAACATGAATGAGTGCAGCTTACCTAAGGTACGACAAAGCTTTGTTAACAAGTTTATAACATCTTTAAATGATATTGAAGATGCTAACAATATTATAGCACACCTTTCTAAAAAGTCATCTACTACTTCCAAATCATGTTTAAATGAATTTCGGCTAAGTTTTTTTGAAGACAAGCCAAATGAGTTACACTATCTGACACAGCTAAGAAAGCAATCAACAATATCTGAATTTATAGCTGAAGTACATAGTAAAAGGACTTCTTATAAGGGGAGTGAAGTAGCAAATGGCAAGTTGACAAATTTAAAAGCTATGAGGCATAGTCCAAGGATAAGTCCATCTACTAATCTTTTTTCACCCAGAGAGACTTCTTCTGGTTTTCGTCCGATGCTTGGAATTCGATTGAGTAATCATAAAATTTCAACTTTGACGCAAGAAAATAAACGTATTCAAACTAAGACTAATAAAAAAAAAGACATTGATGTTGCATTAATGAGACAAAAGTTAGAAGAAGCCCATTACAAAAAAGAGTCTCACATTGATTATCTTCGTGAAAATCACCCTACATTTGACAAATCATTGTTTATATTTTCATCCAAGCATCCTCTTAGAATGTTTATTCATAAAATTGTACACGCTAGGTATCGTGCTTTCAACACAGATGATAAAAGCATTCAGGTTGGTGCATTTAGTTTTGATAGATTAAAACGATATATTGGATCACAAACTTATCTTGATTGGCTTATGTTATTATTTACTCAAATTTCTTGTATAGCTATGGCATTTGAGACTGTAAATGTTAGAGTATTTCACAATTCTGATTGCAAAGTATTATCAATTATTGAATATATATTTGTAATATCCACCTCAATCGAGTTAACTCTAAAAATTGTTGCTGATGGTTTCTTGTTTACACCCAATGCATTTATTCAAGATGTTGGTGGAGTTTTGCATGTATTTATTTATATTTTTAGTCTAATTTACTTAGTATGGCAACCAAAGATAATACCCCCATTTTCAGCTGCTCAATATATATTGGTTTTACGAGCTTTACGTCCTTTAAGAATAATTACACTTGCTCCACCACTGCGAAAAGTAGTATGGGTACTGCTCAGTGGTTATAAAGACATTTTTAAGGTTGCTATTCTTCAAGGTGTTTTGATGTTTGCCTTCGCTAGTTATGGTGTCCAGGTTTTTGCTGAAAAATTAATGAAATGTAATGATCCAGCTATTCAAAATAAAAATGAATGCGTTGGATCATTTTATAAAACTGTTGCTTCTCCTCGCAATTTACAAGGATTAAAAGGTGAAAAAACAGAAATATTAGTCCCTAGAGTCTGGTCGAATCCTCGCAATTTCGACTTTGATAATTTAGGAAAGGCATTTCTTGCTTTACTTGAATTATTATCCTTAGAAGGTTGGACTGATGTCAGAGATACAATTAAGGATCAAACAGGATGGGTAGGCATTCTATACCCACATGCTTATGTAGTTGCTGCTTGTCTTTTGGGACTAACACTATTTATTGGTGTTATTGTCAGCAATTTTAATGAAACCAAAGGAACAGCGTTATTGACTGTAGAGCAGAAGCGTTGGAAAGATCTAAAAAAGAAACTTGAACTGGCACAACCACTTCACTTGCCACCTCGACCGAAGGATAGCTTTATTAGGGGAAAACTTTATGACTTTTTTAATTGTAAATGGTATAATCGATTTTATGCATTTATTTTATTAGTTAACGTGGGTACTCTGTTTCGTGGCCAATGGGAGCCAAATGATCTTGATTCTATATGGAATTCTTCATTAATATCAATTGCAATCATTTGCTGCATAATATTCTTTATTGATTTAGTTTTAAAGGTTGTTGCCTATTCTTTTAAAGGATATTGGCTAAGCTGGAGAAATCGATTTGACTTAATATTAACTCTTAGTGGCATTGTATTTTCTGTTTGGATATTATTGTCATTTTCTCAAAGGAATACACATGATGAGGCAAAGCAATTTGGAGTTGTTATTTTTATTTTACGATTTCTTTCTTTTTCTGGAAAGTCAAATGATTTGCGGATGCTAATGTTGACAGTTGTAATGAGTTTGACAAAGTGCTTTTTTACTATTGGAGTAATGTTAATGATAATGGCCTGCTATGCTTTTGTTGGTGTTATTCTTTTCGGCAACATAAAACATGGTTTGGCATTAAATAATCAAGCAAATTTCGAAACTAGCTATAATGCTATGCTACTTTTATTTCGTATGACAACAGGTGAAGATTGGAATCGTGTGATGCGTGATGCCACTTTATCTTGGCCTTATTGTAAATTGAATGATAAAGAAGATTATAAATTTAGTAGTTGTGGTAACACAACAGCTGCGTATTTTTTTTTTCATTCTTTTTATTTTATAATTAATTACATTTTTTTGAATTTATTTATTGCTGTTGTCATTGAAAATTTTTCAATCTTCTATTCAACTGATGATGATCCAATTATGTCTCAACAAGATATTCGAAATTTCCAAGAAGCTTGGAATGCAGAAGACAAAGGTAACAGCGGCTCAATAAGTGTCCAAAGTGCCAGGAAAGTTATTGAGTCACTGCGTAAAACTTTGAAATTGGAAAAATCAGCGCACCCACTGCTTTTTAAGTGCATGTCTGCTGAAATTGAAAAAATAAGAAATGGAAAAAATGTTTTTTTTCATGACCTTTTGTTTGTTGTTGCATATAAGAAAATTGATATAACAAAAAACCTTCAGCTAGAAGAAAGGTTTGTTTGTTTTTGTTATTGTTGTTGTTATTTTTAAATAGCAATGTTAATTTGCTGGTAGTAAAATAGTTTTAAAATTTACTGGAAAACCTTAGGTGTAATAGCACTGACTTTTAAGTATTACCCTTAAAAATATTTTTAACTGCAAAAAATAGTTATATTAAATGAGCAATTTTTGACTGGTATATAGTTAAAAAACCGATTTTTGACTGGTATATTTTTAAAAACTCTATTACAAATATTGTTTTATTAAATAAAATCACAAACCAAAAAAATATATTTTTAAAAGGTTTTTTATGATTATTTTTTTTAGAGAATTTTTAGTCTTTCACAGGAAGATGCGCGATTGCACATCTTCCTGTAAAAGACTCAAAATGTTAAAAAGACTCAAATTTCGATGTTTTTATATGACCAGGCAAATTACATTTTGCTTTGACGATTTGACTACAGCTTTTTCAAATAACATTTTAAAAATGCGCCGAATGCAAAATAATCTGAATTATACCTTAAATGAAATAAATTACATCGAAACTTTTAACAAATGTTTTTATATTTATTTATTTTTTATGATAAATGTTTATCTTTTGAAACATTAAAAAAACAAAAAAAAATTACAAATATTAAAACGAAGAATGAAATGGTTTTTTAATGCGCAAATTCAAGAGACTAAGCATTTTAGTTTAATGAGTTTTGTTTTAGTTAGGTTATATATATATATATATATATATATATATATATATATATATATATATATATATATATATATATATATATATATATATATATATATATATATATATATATATATATATATATAGTATTATTCCCTCCTGCTATAAATTTGGAATTGTTCATTGTTTGATTGATTGTACATTTAAAATTAATAATACTTGGGTTGGTTTTGATAAAGATATTAAGAATCTATCATTAGTTTTACAAAATGATAAATTTCCTCAAAAAATTATTGACTCTGAAATTAAATCCTATATTGATAAAAAAATGAGACTTTAAGCTTCCATGCATTATTATGTAAAAATTTTGTCCATCAAAATTTCTCTGTAAAGACTTCTATTTTTTAATATTTGTTTCAGAGTTTTTTTATTGTAAAATAATTTTTTGAAAATGTAAATAAATTTACAAAATATGTCAAGACAAGTTTTTCTGTTTTTTTTTTTTTTTTGTTAAGATTTTTTTTTTCTTTTTCAAAGTTTTTTTTTTAAGTTCAAGTAAGTTTTTAAAGCGCATTTTTAAATTTTGAAATTATGTAAAAAGCCATGGTCAAATCATCAAAACAAATTATTTTTTGCGTGGGCATGTAATTGCGTGCGTCTTTATAGGAAGATGTGCATATAAAAGCACGTCTTCCTGTGAAACACTGAATTTGAGTGCCAATGTTTGTTTTACGCCATTTTATAATATAGAACAAATTGGTGTCTGGTAAACTTTAAATACATTGTTTTAAATGTTACTCATATTTAATATATTTTCATATATATATATAATATATTTTTTCAGATTAGCACGTGCTGAATTAGATGATGGTATTAAGGAAGAGGTAGCTGCTGAAGTAATAAGAGAATGGATAGTGCGCGTAATTCAGCAAAACAAGACAAAAGTCAAATCACAGCTTGAAAAGAAAATTTCTGGTTATTTTTTATATTTTGTTTATTTTATATGATTTTATATGATTATATAAACTAAGGATTTTTTTAGTATAAAGTTTAAATTTTACCCTAAAGTAGTTTTCACTTTATTTCCCTTATTTATATATATATATATATATATATATATATATATATATATATATATATATATATATATATATATATATATATATATATATATATATATATATATACCTGTTAAAATATTTTTTGAAAATTTTCTTGCTATCACTCATTAGTTACTTAAAGTAAACATTTGATAATTCATATAGTCCTATAATTAATATTGTTTGTGCAGTTTCTGTTGTGTGGTTTAAACAAGGTATTTTACTGAATAATAATATAAAAATATTATAAATTCATGATATTTTGCTTTAAAACATTATTACCATGGTTTTACGAGTAAAACTCTAAGGGTTATCTATTACAATCTTTCAAATACAATGCTGCTTTTTTTTTAAATGGTTATCTTATCTAAGATATATTTTTATCCTTCTGATGTTTCAATAAACATTACTAACTTTTGATGTAATCTTTTATTAAACATTTCTAACTTTTGATGTGATGTTTTATTAAACATTGCTAACTTTTGATGTAATGTTTTATTAAACATTGCTAACTTTTGATGTAATGTTTTATTAAACATTTCTAACTTCGCTATAGCACATTATGGATTGATCATATACTAAAATAGGAAATAAGTTTACAAATACAGAAACTCTTTTTAAATGATTTTTTTGTAAACATTAAATGTTTGATTATATTTCTATAATTTAAAGGAAAATTTATTTTTATGAAATATCTTTTTTATCAATACTTTCCTTTGTACCCAGATTTTTTTTTTTTTTTTAAGTTTTTTTTTCTAGTTTTTTTTTTTTGTTGTTTTTCTTTTTTAAACAGCTAATAAAAAAAGACAAATTTTAAAAAACAATTTTTGCAAATTAGTCTTAGACCTGTGATACCAGATTTTATTAATTATATTGTGTCTTTAACCACTTAACGTCCTTCCTCCTTGTATGCATTCGTCCTTTTTTTGGGTTTTGTCCCAAATTCAGTTCCATTAAGTAAAAAAATAACCCCCTATCAGTTGAAGATGATAAAGTTAAAGCTAAAGTTAGGATTTGAATGATTAAATAAAAAATTTATTTTATGAATGTAAAAGTTTGTTTGTTTGTTTTTTTGTTTTTTTTTTGAAAAATAAATTAATTTTAACTTCATTGATTGCAAGGATACTAAAGGTAAAAAAATTAGAATCTTCAAATATTCAAAAAACATTTTTAAATATGTTAAAAAATATTCATGTCTTGAAATAAAGTTATTTGAAAAAATATATCTTTTATTTGAATATATAATTTATAATATGATTTTAAAGTTCTTGTAGGCATTATAGTATGATATTGTAATAGAGTAGACCGGAACGATTTCATCACTTGCTTAAATGTTGCCTGTTCAACCTGATACGCTTTTTTCATATAACATCAATTGAATTTTATGAATAAACTTTATTTAGTTTAATCACGTTTAAAAATTCAAAAAGAAAAATTATTTATACTCATAAACATCCATTTGTATTACACACCTAAATGGGGCAATATCATCTTTTATGGGGCGATTTTGTCAATGTAAAAAGGGTTAAAGCTTTATTATATTTTGTTGAATTAAGCACTTTTTTTTTTTTATTTGCATTCACTCCCAACAAGGCTGCAAGCAACCACTATTAAGTTGGGAGTTACTAGGAAAAAAAAGAACAGAGTTATAGAGCAAGGAAACGGTTGACAGAAGACTTGAAAAGTTGAAGGTTGTATGAGTCAGGAAAATATGAAGATGGGAGAGAGTTCCAAAGGATTGAAGCGCGGAGAAAAATACCAGATGAATAAAAGTTTTTAGAGCATGCAGGAACAGATACAGTAAACAAATGAGACTTAGCTGAATGACAAGTAAAATGAGAATGAATTTTAGTTGATGGAACTAGAGATGATAACTCCTTTGAGCAGTGACCATGATAGTATTTGTAGAAAAGAGAAAGAGATGCAACTTTAAGGCGATGGACGATGCACGATAAAGAGAAGCAACCTTAGCAGAAGCTAATTTAGCAATCGATTGTATATATGGTTTCCATGAAAAGTCAGTAGAAAGCGATAATCCAAGAAGATGTAAAGAGGAGGACTCAGTAAGAGGATTGCCATTCATTAATATAGGAATGTTGCCCATATTACGGTAGTTGTTCGCAGTAAACAACTGGGTTTTGTTAGAGTTGAAATTCACAAGCCACTGTGAACCCCAATCTATAAAAGGAATTTGTTGATCAAAGATGAGATGTGAGGAATTTGTTGATCAAAGCCTCAAAGACCTTGCTAATAACAGAAAGAAGACTGATCGGACGATAATTGGAGGAGTCAGAATTTTCTCCAGAGTTTTTGAATATTGGAACCACAGATGCCATTTTCCAACAAGCAGGAAAACAAGACTCAGTCAAACACTTGTTAAATAGTTTAGAGAGAATTTAAGAAAGTTCTGGAGAACAATTCTGCAAGACTGTGACAGGAGTGTTGTCTAGACCACAAGCTGTAGACGAGTTTAATTGAGAGATGACTTTAGCAACAGAAGCCGGAGTGATTTAAATGTCTAACTGGAATGCAAGGAAGAGAATGTCCACAAGATTCATAAGTGGAATTAGAAGAAAAATTCTTTGCAAATAGTTCTGCCTTATCCTTGGGAGAGGTAATAAGATCAGTCCCATGAATGAGAGATGGAATGTTAGATCTACTCTTGTTAATAATGCTGTTGAAGATTTTCCAAAAGTCTTTAGAGCCTAACTTCTGTGATAAGATGCGAGATTTAGTGAACTGAGAATAATAAAGTTTAGCATCAGAAAGCACCTTTTTACATCGATTTCTTGCAATAATAAATATCCGTTTGTTCTCAAGAGAGTTGTTCTTTTGAAAAAGATGAAAAAAATGATTACGATTGGATATAGCAGCCGCACAAGAAGGAGAAAACCATGGAGTAGAATGAGGCTTGACTTGAAACCGACAAGAAGGAATAAAAGCTTCCATTCCAGCCTGAATCCAGGAGGTTACGTAGGAGGCGCATTTATCAGCTCAGAGAGAAAAAACATCAGCCCAAGGACCATCACGAAGAAAATCACGAAAAGAATCCCAGTCAGCTTTAGGGTAGTAGTAGGTGGTGCGATGATAAGGTGAGCCCAAAAAAGAAGTAGGAGAAGAAGAGTGTTAGAGCCAAGCCATTTAGTGTGATTGGCATTAAAATCACCATCAACAACAATATTGGCAGAGGGGTAAAGAGAGAGAGGGCATGGTCAATTTGATCAGAGATAACATCTAAAAGAGTGCAATCATGGGAAGAAGGAGAACGATAAAGAAAAAAGAGAAAGGTGATAGAGTGAAGAGGTGCTAGGCAAAAGCACATAAAAGAATGGTTAAAGGATTCAAACCTGATTTCACGACAAATAAGGGAATTTATGCGTATGTATACCCCATAGGTATGTAGTCACATGCCAAGTATGTAAACCTAGCATGTGACTATTGGAGTCTTTACAAATCAAAGGATAGTACCCATCAACACTGACATCTGAAGAAGGAATTGCAGAATTTAAATTTGTTTCACTGAGTGCAAGCAAGTCTGGTGAATTTTGCAGGAGGTAAGACTCAACTGACGAAAAGTTGCTTCGCAGACCGCAAATATTTGTAAAAGATATATTAAAACATTTAGGTGATGGGGATGGTGTTTTAGGTTTAAATTTTTTGGTTACTTTGGTCATGATTTGGGTTTAATGAGAACTTGACTCATTCATAGATAGAGCACAGCCTCCTAATCAATGAACTATGCAGTTGTCTCAGTCCTGTTAATTAACCCTAAGTTGTGACATAGGGCTCCTTATGTGGCCTTGATAATGCACACTAAAAGCATTAATAGGGACACCATCCATGCGCAACATGGCACTGTTAATACTCTGATATTTTGCAGCTGTTGATGGAATCAGCCTCTCTGAGAGCTACCACAGAGTTCAGGAAACCTTACTACCAGCCGCCCTCAGAACCATTAAACTAAGTTTTAGAGCTGTACCCTCATATGGAGATAACAGGAAGAGTTGCATAGCCATTATCAAGGAGGCATAAGCAAAATTCTATGAGTAGAGTCAAGGAGATCCAGCATTCATCATCCTAGGCAGGAAACAATGTAACACAGGTTACATCTACGCCAGCCTAATAGATGAAGAAGGGGTTCGAGGCTTGTTAGCAGAATTTTTCCGCTTACCCCTAAAGTCTTTGCCTAGGAGGCCTTCTACAAGACAGTAGCTGGATGCAGTTAACATCTGCCCAAGATGAGTATTTTTATCGAGACACCATCACTAGCCTTTACTCAACCAAAAGCCCCAAGGCAGGGGATGTTTAGCTGGATGCAGTTAACATCTGTCCAAGATGAGTGTTTTTATCGAGACACCATCTCTAGCCTTTACTCAACCAAAAGCCCCAAGGCAGGGGATTTTTTAGTCGGAGTTTATTTCTTCTAGCCTTTGCCTAAGAAGAGCACACTCTGCAAGGCAGCAGGGCTTGTAGCAGGTGGTACTGGGTTACGTGATACCAGTAGCAAGATTGATCTTGATTATCCTGACCTGACCTGGAGTAGTTAAAAAGAGTTACATCCTGCAACAGTATTTTGAGAAAACCAGGCATGACATTTTGGAAGTGCATTAGGAAAAACACTGCATCTAACAAACACAGTCTAAGGTGAGTGTAGGTTTTGTAGTTGGAGTAAGTAGCTAGTTACTGAGCTCACGCTGCATCAGAGAATAAACAGAACACAAACAAACATAAAGTAACTTACGGGTGAGCGAACACCGCGCCAGAGGTTCAGACAGAACACAAACATACAAAAAAAAACATAGAAAACATAAAGTAACTTACGTTAAAAAAAAAAAACATACATAAAAAAACGTTAAAAAACATAAAGTAACATTA